AAAAAGAAACAACAAAGAAAGAAAAGAGGACCAAGTAGAGCACCACAGAAACTATTACCAAGTACAATATCTCAATAATAATATTATAAGTAATGTTGATATAGGTGGTTCAAATATAGAATTGGTACAAGTTGTTGTTTTAGACGTTAAGGTTGGAGTTATTGTTTGAACTGTTATCATTAAATTGGTAAGGTGCCAGAGTGGCTAATAGTACAATGTCTATTCCTGATATTGCAGTTAGAATTAGAATAATAATTAATATTGTAATTTGTGTATTTTGTAGTTCAATAAGGAGTATTGCTGTCAATCCAGCTGCAAGTATGATTGCAATTAAAGTTACGATTAATATTTATTTATTTGGGTTTATAAACAATAGATATCAGAGTATAAAATTAGGTCCAATTGGAATATCTGTCTTCAGATTCTGATTGTTCTGATTGATTCAGGGTGTTTACTTTTGCAAATTTAGCTTTCTTTTCAGGTTTAGAATATAATAGTAATCCAGTTCCTACTACAGAGAATTGTTGTCGTAATGATTGTGGTTGTGTTAATTGTGCAGCCAATTGTTGAATTTGTTGTGGAGTTAAAGTATTGTTTGGTGGTTGTGTAAATGGGTATGTTGCTGTGTGCATTGTTGATTTTACTTTTATATTGTTTTTTTTTCTATTGTATGCATTTAAAGCAGATAATAAGAGTTGTAATTATTGTTGTTAATACAGTTAATAGTGTGCCTAATACTTCAATAACAGTAACTAAAGTATTATTTGAATTGTTTGTTGGCATTGGTATTATTATAACAATAGTTAGTTGCATATTCGGGAATATGGTTTGGCTTATTTGGCTTAATTGTATTAAGCTTAGAGTTGTAGTTGGTGTTTGCATAATTGGGATAGAAATAACAATCTGTGTTTGAGTTTGTTTTTTTTTTTTTTTTTTTTTTTTTTGGGCCTTTTCTTTAGAGTTAGGTTAGAGTTTAGAGTTAGTGTTGTTAGTAAAAAAGTATATATAAATTTTAGTAGGTATTATAGATTTAAATAGAGATTTTAAATTTCAGCATCAGGCATGACATTTATTTTAGCCTAAATTATTATAAAAAAATCTGATCTGGTTCGTTATATCCCAATTTCGTTATAGGCAGATTTGTATATCCAGAGCGACAGTATAGATGATTTATAGTATTACTTCTAATAGATTATCTTAGAGAACTTAAAAGCATGATCTATAAATTTAACCTGGTGTGATAGACCTTTTTAACGGCTTAACAATCGCTTCTGGTGTACAGGGAAATACAAGCAAAATTTCCAGAAAATCAATTTATAAATAAGGATATATTGTACCAAGAAACAATCTGAGATAATACAAATAGATCACCCAACGTAAAACAAATAGAAAATCATTAAAGATTACTACCAAGCAACATGACACAAGTACCAAGAAAAATAACTTATCTAAAGACAATTAATAATAACAAATTTATTATACCCAACTATTATACTTTTGAAACTAGAAAAATAAACTATGAGATAGTATAATATAGTTTAACAATTTAGAAATTAATATTGTATCAATTCGCATTATTCAAAAAGTATTTAAACATCGAAATTTTACCATAGCAAAACTTCGTGCATGTATTTATTTTAACTACTTACAAATCAAAACTTATAATCTTTTACTCATAAAATTACTTTGATAGTAAAATATTTCATATATAGTCAATTTATGACTACCATTGTATATTCATTCGAAAATTTAGAAACATATAGCAATTCATTATTATTAGTTATTCTTACAATATTTTTAACGATTTTAACAAACCCCTCTTATTAGTAACAGCATTAATTGCTGAACATTTTATTTATCAAAACTTAAACTATTGAATTAAACTACTCTTGTATAACGATATCATATTTTATTAATAAAGAAACTTT